CACAAAGGATAGATGTATAAGCGGTCATAACAGAATGGCATTTGTGGGAATGTAAATCATCTATGAAATGAACAAGAATGGCAAATGGATACCTCTTTTTTTTTTTTAAAGATTTATTTATTTTAGGGGTACCTGGGAGGCTCAGTCAGTTAAGCGTCTGCTTTCGGCTCAGGTCATGACCAGGCATCCTGGGATCGAGCCCCGCCATCACACTGGGCTCCCTGCTCAGCAGGGAGCCTGCTTCTCCCTCTCCTCCCTGCTCTTGCTCTCTCCCCCTATCTGTCTCTCTCAAATAAAATATTTAAGAGAAGACAAATTTAAAAGACAAAAGTAAAGATTAACTTATTTGAGAGAGAGAGAGACAGAGCACACAAGACTGGGGGGAGGAGGTGAGGGAGACAGATTCCTCAAGCAGACTCTCTGTTGAGTGCAGCCCAATATGGGGCTCAACCCCACAACCCTGGGATCAGGACCCAAGCTGAAATCAAGTCGGACACCAAACCAACTGAGCCACCCAGGTGCCTCTGGATACCATTTTAAAAACACATTTTTCCTCACTGCAGACTGTTTCTCCAGTTACTAACCCCAATAAAAAGCCTCTTTAAGTGGGGGGGGTCACTAATCAATACTTCTAGCTCAACAACTAGTGCCATTTCACCCGTGCTGAATCAACAATTTTTTTGAGAGAGTGCACACGCACGAGCATGCACACGTGGGATGGGGAACGGCAAAGGGAGAGGGAGAGACAAAATCTTAACCCAATGCAGGGCTCAATCCCAGGACCCTAAGATCATGACCTGAGCTGAAGGCAGAAGCTCAACCGACTGAGCCACCCAGGCGCCCCTGAATGAGCAATTTTAATACCAGTCCCCAGAGCAAGCTAGTCCCCAGCCTGGTCTCTTGGGAACAGAAATAGTACCTGGTTTGGCTGAGCCTTTAGTCTGAGCTTTAGCTGCCACAGGTGTTGTCTTTGGCTTCTGGTTCTTTGGTAACTCATCTTCTGAGCTTGAGTCTGAATCGGAATCAGAGCTCTCGGCCTTCTTAGGAGGAGCTTTAACTGCCTTGGGTTGGGGCTTAACTCCCTTCTGTAAGGAAACACACAATGAGGAGAATCAGCAAGAGGTTCTGGGTACCCAAAGGGCATCCTAAGGTGGAAACCATGGTAGACTTTTATTTTTTAGGAGCTAATGGAGCAGTAAGAGCAAAAGAAAGCTGAGCAAGACAACATCTGAGGGCGCCTGGCTGACTTAGTTGGTAGAGCATGCAACTCTTGATCTTGGGGTCAGGAGTTCAAGCACCATGTGTGACACAGAGTGTACTTAAAAAAACAAAAAAAGCTTCTGGAAAGGACACCAAATTCTTCATGAGAAACAAAAATACTGGGGTGCCTGGCTGGCTCATTGGGTAGAGCATGCAACTCAATCTTGGGGTTAGGAGTTTGAGTCCCACACTGGGTATAGAGATTACTTAAAAATAATTCAAAAATCTTAAGGAAAAAAGGAAGGAAGGAAGAAAGGAAGGAAGGAAGGAAGGAAGAAAGAAAGAAAGAAAGAGAAGAAAGGGAGGAAGGAAGAAAAAGAGAATGGGGAAGAAGGGACAGGAAGGGAAGAAGGTAGAAAGGGAGGGAGGGAGGAAGAAAGAGGGACTCCTGGGTGGCTCAGTCACTTAAACGTCTACCTTCAGCTCAGCTCATGATCTCAGGGTCCTAGGATTAAGCCCCAAGGCAGGCTCCCTGCTCGGTGGAGAGTCTGCTTCTCCCTCTCCCTCTGCCCGCCCCCACCCACTGCCTGGGAAAGAGAATGGGTTCCTAGATTCAGAGTACGACTTCACCCTCACGTATCCTTTCCAAACTTCATACATCTATTTTCTCCTCCATGGTTACCTATTATATATGTTTTATGTATTTAAAGATTCATTTTATTTTAGAGAGAGAGGGCGCATGCGCGCTCATACATGGTTGGGAGTGGGGGGAGGGGCAGAGGGAGAGGGAGGCAGAAAAGCAGACCCCTTGCTAAGCAGAGTCCAATTGGGGCTAGATCCCAGGATGCTTAAATCATGACCTGAGCCAAAACCAAGAGTAGGAGGCTTAACCGACTGAGCCACCCAGGCGCCCCTTATTTATTTATTTTTTAAGTATTCTCTACACCCAACATGGGGCTCAAACTTATAACCCTGAAATCAAGAGCTCCATGCTCTACTGACTGAGCCAACCAGGCACCCCCATAGTCACCTGTTATATACCCACCGCCATCCCTTGGTTCCAAGCTACAAGCCAAGACTTTAGGTTTCTTCTTTCTAATCCCTTAAACAACCTCTTTCCTTCCCCAAGCTGCAAACCTGAACAGGCTTTTTCTTCTTGTCATCGTCCTCCTCATCATCACTGGATTCCTCACTGCTGCTGCTCTCTGATGCTTTGGCTGCAACCTTTCCAGGATGCTGAGGCAAACTGGCCCGCTTGGCAGGTACAACTGAACAAAACCACAGACCCCAGTGAGAATCAGCCATATGGTACAGGCAGGCTACAAATCCCTTTCTGGGAACCACTAACCCCAATGCCCTGTCCAGCCTTACCAGCTTTCTTAGCTAGAGGTCCTGGGGCTTTTTCCTCCTCACTGCTATCCTCACTGCTGTCACTAGATGAAGCCTTCTTCTTAGCCTTCTTAGTCACTGGTCCATTTGCCTGTAACTTCCGCTTCAGGGCCTTGGCAGACCTGCTGAGATAGATGAGGCTAACTTTTGGGGGATCAGGACCTTCCCACACCAGGGAACACAGCCCAACTCCTTTGGGGAAAAACAGTCACAGTGGTACAGGGAAGACTTACTTGAGCCAGAAGCTGTAGATGTCCAAGAGAGAAGAGGCGTTGGCGTCCTGTTGGGTCTATAGGAGAAAAAAATAGCTTAGTAAGAATATTTTATCCTGGTTGTTCTAGGGGGAAATCAGATTTTATTTTATTCTCTCTTTAAAAATGACCTGCTTTGGGTGCCTGGTGGCTCAATCAGTTAAGTGTCTGCCTTCAGCTCAGGTCATGATCTCAGGTCCTGGGATGGAGTTCAGTATCAGGCTCCCTGCTCAGCAAGGAGTCTGCTTCTCCCTCTCCCCCCTGCTCGCGCTCGCTTGCTCTTTCTTTTTCAAATAAATAAACAATATCTTTAAAAAGTGACCTCTTTTATACCTGCTATATTTCGTGTAATTGTTACATCTTTGTGAGACTTCTACTTGAAAAATAACCTATTTATGTACTTCCCAATTTTTGACATCAAAAACTTGGGTTACTCTTACAGTTTCTGTCACCGTCTATCCCTAGTCAATCCTATTTATCAAAGCCTTTTAAAAAACCTTCTTTCCCAGGATGCCTGGGTGGCTCAGTCGGTTAAGCATCTGCCTTTGGCTCAGGTCATGATCCTAGGGTCCTGGGATCCAGCTCAGTGACAGGCTCCCTGCTCAGCAAGGAGTCTACATCTCTCTCTCTCTGTGTCTGCCCCGTCCCCTTCGTGCTCGCACGTGCGCACTCTCTCTCAAATAAAAATTTTAAAAAATCTTTAAAAAAAAACGTGCTTTCTCTTTGCTTTAGCAATGCATTGTCTAGGAATTATCCTTACCTGTGAAACAAGGACACAAACATTAACGGAAGAGAGTGTTTCCTGAGATGTGGTTTATAATACCAAATCATAGGAAACCAGCCTCCAATACTGGTTAAAAAGCTAAGTTATATACTCAGTACAAAATTACATTCAGCTATTAATTACACTGATATAGATTATTTGATGCAAAAAAAAATCACAAAGCATTACAGTACCACCAAGAGTACAGGCTCAGAGTTAGATGTGTACAGATGTGAAACTCACCTCTGCCTGTTATTACTGTGTGACCCTGAGCAAATTACTTAATCTGAGATTGTTTACTTCTCTATAACATGGAGATAATACTATACATCTTATTAAGTTGTTGAGAGAATTAGAGATAATGCATATAAAGGATTTAGCAACTGGAAACACCATCTGGCCCTTAGTAAGTCTTCCAAGAAGATTAGTTTTTGTCATATAAAAAAATCCCGATTCTGAAAAGCCCAGTTCCATCCAGCCCATTGTGAAAATACTTTTTGCAGCCTCCCTAATGGTCAATTCAAAAAACAGTTCTAATATGAAAGCAGCTGTAGATCACACGGCAGGCTGTCCCAGCTTAAGGAAGTCCTTTCTGAAGCAGATTTGATTCTGTCCTTGTGCAGCCTGATTCTGCCACAAAGAAACTTATCTTCTTAAAGGCTAAGAAGACTGTCAAAGACTACACTCTACCCTCTCTCAAGATGTTTTCTCATGCATCTTTTTTTTTTTTTTTTTAAAGATTTTACCTATTCATTTGACAGAGAAAGCGAGCAAGCCCAAGCAGGGGGAGGGACACAAGGAGAAGCAGGCTTCCCACTGAGCAGAGACCAACATGGGGCTTGATCCCAAGACCGTGAGATCATGACCCGAGCGAGGCAGACGCTTAACAGACTGAGCCACCCAGGTGCCCCATGACTGCTTTTCTTTAGGGAGATTCCAAACCTTTCACATCCCTAGTCCACTTTTTACATGTGTTTGGAACATCCTAGATTACCGTAACTCTGATAACAGCTTTCACTCACTGATGCTTCCCGAGCACCAGGCACTGGGATTGCCACTTCATATTTATGTTACTGAAATTCACAAAAATCTTAAAGTGGATGATGGCATCTCCCGTAGGAACAGAAACAAACTCAGAGAGGTTCAGCAAGATATTCAGGTTATACATTTTAAGAAAACAGAGCCTGGTCCCAAATCTAGATGTGTTTGATTCCAGAAGTCAAAGATCCAAGCCCACTGCTTGGCAGGGCTATGATGCTCAATTTTGCTTTGGTATACCTAAAAGCACAACCATGCCTCTACTCTCATTCACTTTCTTTTTTTTTTTTTTTTTGCATTTTAAAGACCAAGTACATTTCCAGTTCCAGTTCTACTGGGAGGAGAGAGAGGCCGCAGCTTCAGTGGTGCCTGCGGTCACCGGGGTTAGAGGACTCCTGGTCCCGTGAGCGCCGGGCCCTCTTCGGCCCGTGGGACCTCTCCCGGCTCCTGCTTCTACTCCGCTGACTACGCCACTCAGAACGCTCACTGGGCTGGCTGGAGTGTGTGTCTGAGCTTCGGCCTCGGTCTCTATCTCGGTTCTTTTCTTCTCTGGTTGAGGACCTATGTTCATGCTTCAGCTTCTTTCTTTGGCTCCCTCTCTCTGTCCCCTTCTCCACCGCGGCAGGTCGCCCTGACCTCTGGAGAGCTGGGCTGGTGCTTCCGCACCTCCCTGGGCTCTGACTTCTGACCCCACTCTGAGTTCCTGTCACTGCGCTTTTGAGAGCCAGGGTCGTCCTTTTCCCTTACCACTTTGTTTCTGGGTGGCGACCAGGGGGCCGGCTGCTCCGCCTGGACCTCCCGGTCAGTCTTCTCTTTGTCTTTCTTTCTTCTCTTTTTCTCCTTTTTGTCTTTTTTGTGTTTTGTGGGTTTGTCATCTTCAGAACCCTCTGATGAACTCACTGAGGGGGTGTGAGCCCCACAGCCCCTCTCCTGGAGTTCTTTGGTCACATCATCTATTTCTTCGGAGTCCTTGGGAGCTCGATAGTTGGACACATGATCCACTCGAATAGTTCTTCCTTTGATCTTGATCCCATTAAAATTGTCAACAGCCAGAATTGTGCTCCTCTGGTCTTCATAGCAAAGGAAACAGAATCCTTTGGATTTCCCAGTCTTCTTGTCCCGCACCAAATTAATGTTAACAATCTCCCCATGTTGTGAGAACACACAGATGATGTCCCCTTCAGTCAGTTCATAAGGAAGCCCTCCCAGGAATATCCAGGTGCTGTCTTTGTACTCGGAGTGCCAGGACACCTTATCTGCCACCCCAAGCTGGACCTCACGCTCATTCAGCTCGTTGATCAGCTTCACTTTAGTTAAAGGGTTCATCTTCTCAGGTTCACGCTCAGCACCCTCACTTTCTTCTTTATTAACGAAAATCCCATCTCTCATTTCTAAAGCAATTTTATCTTTGAGTCCCGGGTAAATTCGACTGAGAGTTAAGGTCAAGTCACGCTTTTTATCAGCCAATGTAAAACCCAAGAAGGAACCAAGAGCCTCCAACGCCTCCGGTGGGACACCACGCTCCCTCCTCCACGCCGCACTCCGCCAGCCACGTGACCTGCGCCACGAGGATCCCACACTGCCTTCGCTGCACCGCTCAACAGAAAAAAGCAACAAGACTCAACGCTATCTAGTGAGACTGCATGGGGGACCAGGTGCCGAAACTCCAGGCTCTAGGGTCACCGCCGAGAGCTCGGCACAAAGGCTGGATTGGCGGACCCTGGAGACCTCGGTACCCGGAAACCTAAACATGTCAGGGCCCGAAGACCTGTGGTCATCCCACCCCAGCCCTTGTCCCAAGGCCGCACTCACAGCGCCTGTTGCCTTGGCGAATTTATTGGCCACCTCCGAGAGCTGGTTATCGCGCAGAAAGCCGAGCACGAGGGGATACAGGTCGCTGGGAACCACGCGGCGCAAGCCGGCGTCCGCCATCCTCCGGGCAATACGCGTCACTACCGTTGCCGACGCTCACGACTCAGGAACTCGGGAACGCTGAGGGGTGAGGGCGGAACCATTGTGACGTCATCGCGCGGCGCGGGCGCACGGCGGAAGGGGCGGGCACACTCCACAGGGTAGTCCCGCCTCCACTTTGGTGGCAGGATTGAGGCGACATCTAGAAGCTCTTTCCGGTGCCACAAGTGTCGCCATCTTGTTAAGGGCGGAGCCCTCCGTCCACCACCTTGTGAAGGCGGAGCCCTGACGTCACTGGTCACGCCCTTGCTAGTGGCGGGAAAACTTCAGACTTCCCGCTCCCGTTCAGCCCGAGCCCTTTCCTTCAGAGCTGCGGTTTGGAGCCGCAGCTGGGATTCGCATTCCAGAGTAGAGTGGACCGTCGGGTAGAGTGGACCGGCGGGCTTGAGCTGTCCTTGGGACTCTGTAGACTTGGTCACAGGATCTCCCAACCACCCCCATTCTCGCCGCCAGCCGATTCCCACCCTTCATTTTCCCTGCCTCAACACCCACAGAGGCCCTGTAAGATACTGCTCCAACTCCCACCTCCACTGCAGAGGATCCTTCAGATTATCCACGGTAATAGTGGGTCGACGATCCCTAAAAATGCCCCTTTCAATCATGATTTGCCCAACCCTTTCCCCCCTTATTCATTAAGCATTAAGTCAGCTCCATGAAGGGAAAAGCCATTGTGCACCAACCCTGAGTGACACAGCAGCAGCAATCTCTGCAAATCTGTAATCCTGGAAATTACCCTTCTATCTCCTAAGTCACAGTTCACACCTGAACTCTCCCTGTGGGAGAACTAGAAAACCCTCCAACTGCCTCTGTTACGAGTATTCAAAAATCAATGCCCAGGCCTGCCAAGTTAATTCCAAATTCTATCACATTTCAGTTCACATTAGCAGACATCAATCCCTTTACCCACTACCCTTTGATTACTTCCCCATTAATACCTGTCAGGAAAGGTAAGGATCCACTTTCTCGGGGGACATACCTCTCCTTTGCTCTTCTCAAAATAGGCACTCTCCTTAGATAGAACTCCTACATCTCCCTCTTACCCAGAGGTCTATTCACATGCATGCATTCTTCTGAGTACCTGTTGTGCGCCAAGCACTGTGCTCAAGCTAAAATGGTACATACGTGTACACGTAAGTCTCGTTTACAAAACCTTTATTTGGGGGCCGCCTGGGTGGCTCAGTCGTTGGGCGTCTGCCTTCGGCTCAGGTCATGATCCCAGGCTCCTGGGATTGAGCCCTGCATCGGGGTCCCTGTTCGGCGGGAAGCCTGCTTTTCCCTCTCCCACTCCCCCCGCGTGTGTTCCCCCCCCCGCTGTGTCTCTCGCTGTCAAATAAATCTTAAAAAAAAAAAAAGAAAAGAAAGAAAACCTTTATTTGGGGGCGCCTGGGTGGCTCAGTCGTTAAGCAGTCATTAAGCATCTGCCTTCAGCTCAGGTCATGATCTCAGCATCCTGCGGTCGAGCCCCGCATCGGGCTCCCTGCTCGCATCGGGCTCCCTGCTCGACGGGAGGCCTGCTTCTCCCTCTCCCTCTCCCACTCCCCGTTTCTGTTCCCTCAAATAAATAAAAAACTTAAAAAACCAAAAAACCTTTATTTGGAACAAGTGTGACCTTAATGGTAAAAATCTCTTCCTTGGGACTGTAGCAGCAACAGCATCCCCTTGTTTGAAATGCAGAATCTCAGGCCTCACCCCTGAAGTCAGAATCTGCATTCTAAAAAGATCACCAGATAATTCAAATTCTCTTTTAAAGCTTGAGAAGCACTGCCCCAGAAGACTGATTTCACTGACAACACATCCTGAGGAGCAAAGTTTCAAGTCCAACAGGATTTTGCACCCGACCAAAGAGAGGTCCTAGGAACTAAATGGAGGTAAGCATGTCTCTGATTGTGTTCAGATTGGAGGAGTGTGTCTGGCACTAGCACCATTGAAAGAAGCACAACAGCACTTGGGAATTCTCTCTAGTTTGTGTTTATTAGTCTGCATAGTGACTTAGATCTTCCAAACATGGGGGAACCCCTCAGCCCCATCGGAACATAGGAATGCAAGTTAACTTGTTTCAATGCCTGTTATAAAAAATGAATAACCCTTTAAAAAATCTGATTTAACACATTTTTATTTCACTTTTTTCCATTTCTTTATAAAACAGTCATCTCCTCACTAGCAGCTCTCTCCCCTAAAGTGGGGGAGAGGGGGTGGAGGAGGTTGGACACCTCCAAAGAAAAAGGGAAGGGGGAGAAGGGCCCAGGGTTACCTCCTGAGGTTCTTCTGGGCCTGTTTCAACAATGTGTCAAAGTCAAGAGAATCAAATTTGCTCTTTACAGGAGCAGGGTCAAAGTCTTCCCGGTTGGAGTCTATAAAAATAGAGACAGACATCAAGGTCTCTGACAACACTTCCCTACCACAGGGTCCTCAAATAGCCAGCCTCCTCCCACCCCAATAATAGATGGAAATAATATCACCCTGGTTTTAAGTCAAAAAGACAAGAGAACCCCCACTTCTCTCATCCCACCCCCCAGGTTCTTTGTGTGTCACATTCAGCATTAAGTCAGCTCCATGAAGGAGAGCCCCACTCTCAAAATGGTTGGGAACCCTTCTGGGGACAATATGAAGTATACCAAAGCCCCAGGGTCTCTTCCACTCACCAAGATCAGAATAGCTTCTCTTGCAGAACTGCCTGCGGCCCCCGAAGCAGAGATCAAAGGGTTGTTCATCTGCCTGCCTCAGCTTGTGGCCACTCTCGATGGCTGCAAATGCCTCCTCAGCATAGCGGTAAGTGACGAAGCCGTAGTTGTCACTGGTGAGGAAGATGAGGCAAGGCTAGGATGGCCACCTGGGCCCATGCCATGGAGAACAGATACTTCCGAGGGTACAGAGAGGGACTGGGGTGGTTCCTCTCATTCCCCAAACGGCCAACCCTCTGACTATGGGAGTGCAGGGGTCGTCCTACACTGCCTAGCACACCAGAGGAAGGAGGAAAGGCAAAGAAGCATCACAGTAGATGAATGGGACGGAAAGGACATTCTGACCTTAGGGCCCAAGCTTACCCTTGGACACGGAAGTGGATAGTGCACTCCTCAATCTCTCCGAAAACAGAGAACCTTTGTTTCAGTTCTGACCTAGTCATGCGGCCAGGTATCTTCCCAATGAAGACCACTCTTCTCTCCTCCTATGTTGGAACGAGGAAAATTGACACAACATGACCCAGGGCTACCAACATAGAAGACCCTCTAAGCTCATGGCCCAGGGGCAAGCCCCATCCTCCCAAGACTTGTTCCTCTACTCACTATTGCACGCTCCTTCTGCAGCACTCTCTGCCTTTGGTAATGGTCATGTGAACGGTAAGAGCTGTACCTGACATGAGAAGAAGATGCCATCAGCCCCCCAGACATTAAATACCTCAAGTCTCAGAACTCTCAGGCATTTGCATCCCAGATGCATGACTCCATGACCACATACTCACCGCCGCCTCCTGTCACTTCTCCGTCGGGGGGATGGGGAGCGGGACCGGCTTCGGGAACTGGATGAGGAAGATGAGGAAGATGAGGAGGAAGATGAGGAGGAGGAAGAGGAAGAGCATCTTCGGGAACGTCCAGAGGAACTGCAACTGGATCTGGAGGATAAAGGGGCAGGTGTGAATGCTGGGAGTGGTGCAAATATATTCCACTTACCTCACCTTGGCCCCAGCCTTGCCTCTGCCAGGAAGCTCAGGCCCAAAGGCAAAGCAGAGCAAAAGAGGTCTAGAGGAACTCCACAGATGATAAAACTGAGGCCCTCATGAACTTTAGATGTATCTGGAATGTTTTAGAGTGTTTTGGCACAGATCATAGTTATTTTCAATTATGCACTTAAAAACAAAAACATTTAACAAGTCAGTAAGAAGAAAAATAAATGGAGACTCAGAGATAAAGGGCTGGGCCCTAGGTCTTACAACTAGCTGGGGGTGCCAGGCCTGGGTCTCTGGGTTCCTGCTCCCCTAACATGTCTCATAGCAGTGCTGTGACCATGGCATAAAAGGGAGATGACTTGCTAGACCTGTAGTAGAGATCATTTCTCAAGAGGTCATTCTGGTTCCAAAACCAAGAATTCTTCATGGATTAAGTGGGAAAATTTGGGTCTGTTACCAAGAAAAAGGCACTGCCCAAAAATGTATGAGGCCACAGTAACAAAGAACTGTCCAGACTCTTTCCTCAACAGACGATTAGAAGAACTGCTATCAACAACCCACTATCCCACCTTCCGGCAACCCACCAAGAAAAGAGCAGAAGTGAGGCCTGATACAGTATGTGACAAGAGTAAACACGGGCGAGATCCAGCCCTAATGGTCTCCCCAAGGTAGAGGTCGAGGAAGCAGGTGACCTCAGGGATACCCCCA